GTGTGTGTGTGTGTGTGTGTGTGTGTGTGTGTGTGTGTGTGTGTGTGTGTGTGGTGAAGGAGGGCGAAGGAGGGCAGAGAGAGAAATGAAACACTGTGAAACAGACGCAGAAAAGTGGGAGTGAAAAGGGAGGGGAAAAAAGAGAAGCACTTATCCATTATAAAGAGGGAAAATGTAATCTTACAGCAAGCTCACACCTCCACTCTAATCTCTTCTTTCTCTCTCAAAGGAGTGCCACCCAGGGGCCATCACCATTATATCTAGACCCATCTATTTCCTTCTCCGCCTCCAACCAGACACTGGGGCTGCAATTCGGTCCCACTAGCCCCAGTCAAAGGAGACACATCATTGATAAATCCCCTTGTTTTTAACCAGGGGTAATAGCTTATAAGCATTACGAGCACTTTGGATGTCACTYCATTTTAGGTTGGTCTTTATTCCACTATGCAACTTTGCGCTAAGGCTACATAAGCCTTATAATAAAACATTTCAATGAAAATCATTTGTTTTCACACTGGAGTGCGAATCGGACAGCTGCATCTCCAAACTTGTACTCTACCCAACYTTGTTACACTTTTATACACACAAGAGTTGTCTGCTATAAACCATAGCGGTTCAGTGTTGCACTGCTTTCATAGATGCAGAGAAGAGGCTCATGGGAAATGAGAGGGACAGTGAAAGGAAGACAGGTGGCGTGAGATCAGAACATATCACCACTGCGTGTGTTCATGACATTGTTGTCACTATTAAAAGTCTGAAAAACTCAGAGGAAAGAAAATGCAACWCCTTAATTCAAATATTGCCACTTTACTAACATTTATACTTAAAAGGAGAAAAAAACGTACATTCAAGCAGCAAATACTGAGTCTTAACTGATTTATTTAAATGGAAATACAGCACGAACAATCCTTAAATACATATAAACAGATAAAAAGTTTGAGGTGAGCAAATTGAAATTCAGCGCACCCCCTTGGAAGGCGACTGACTCATCCTCTTTCTGCCAAATATTAGGATTACACCCATAGCCAACAACAAGTGATGAGCAAACTGTTCCATGATCATTTTCTCAGCCAATCACGGCTCATTTTTCACAAATAAATACAAATACTACCATTCAATCAAAATGAACAAGTACAAAATAAACACATGAACAAGAGGGAGGTTGTCTTTAGAATTATTGCTTTTGGAAAACGTTCACCATTTCTCATTTTATTGCCACTTTTTGCCAAATATTGATGTACTGTATGTTTGAGCTTTCAAATAAAGGACAAAACAGTGTTTTTGTGGCTGTTGTAATTTAAAATATTCTGTGTTCAAATACATTTTTCTGCTGTAGTTAGCAGTTAATTTAAAATTATTTATTAGACATTTTTACCTATTTTACAATGAGAACGCTTTCTCTCAGTGGCACAAACAGCCTGCATGAATGTAAAAGGAACAAAAAGTCTAATTCAAGTTTTGAAATGTGTCTTCGTTTTTCTTCTTCCGAAATTCTTTGGGGTAAGGTGTGTTTAATATTCTGTGAKTGTATTTGAAAAAAGTTCGGTCACCACCATCTGGTCATGAAAATAAGAAGAAGAAAAAAAGGCTTGTGTGTTTGTTTTTCAATATTTTGATAAGATACAACAAAAAATAGAGAAAAAATAATCTTGGACGCTAAAACTACTATAAAAATTTGGTTCCTATTAATATCTGCTTTTATTTTCATTTCATTTYCTGTGGTTTATGAACAATTTTTTTTCAGTCAATAGGGAATATGACATAACGGGAAACTTTAAGTGCATTGATTTTTGACACTTAAATAATTGTTTAGATTATTCACAAGTATTTCGAACATTCCTCTGTTGTGCTTCAAGACAGGCCGTATGGTGAAAATGACTTGGACTCATGCTGAGTCTCTAAAAGAGATGACTAAATCTGGACATCGTGGTTCACATCCACTTTATTCAGTTTATACATATTTAATACCAACACTAAAATAGTTTAAAATGTAGAACTGAGAAACGCCCTAAAAGGACGAGCTCTTTGAGTTGATGTCAAGTAATTATTCAAGTATTTTTAAGGCGAAAAATATTTAAAGGACAGCACTGAAACATAGAGTTATACCTTGCTCATAGCTTATTTTTACATCCATTTTGGTGGAGTTTGTCCTCTTTGGTTGCATCAGTTGTACTCCTGAACTTGACACACCTGGCCTTTGTTTGCTGTTTGCCCCTTACCATTTGTCAWAAGTGTGCCCATCTCCCTCCTCATCTATTAAAACGTTTCCAGCTAACCAGTTCTGACTGGTCTGAGCTGAAGGACGGGATCTCGTTTGTGTTCCTCCATCTGTAAACCATGGAATCACCTTGCTAAACCCTCCTGCTTGTCCTTTGTGTTCTTTTCTATTTCCGTCYTTGTAGGGACCCGTTCGGGCTGAAGCAGACTTTCAGACATTCAGGTAAGCAACCAGAGAGGCGAGAGGCGAACACAGGGAAACAGCCAGCCATACATATGGATCAGGTCGGCTGCTGAGCATTAATGGCCTCCCTCTGGAATCTAAAAACACCGGCACGGGCCAGAGAGGAGCTCCTGTGGGAAATCAGAATACCAGCAGCCGTTCAGGTCAGCTTGTACGTGTTTGCAGCATGTTACGGCTCCATTTTGTCCACCTCCTTTGCAACAGAAAGCCTTCTTCTCTGAGGTTATTRATGCATTTTTATTTCTCTGTTGAGTGGAGAACATCCCTGACTGCTGGAATAGAATTGAGATTTTAATGAGGGGAAAAAGCTACCATGTCTGGTGCACCTAAACTAACTGATGTTCTTATAAAAGATGAGACCATGGTGATTCATAGTGGTTCTACTTTAAACCTAGAAAAAAAGACAATATTATTTTTTCTTATATTTGAAGGTTGAAGCCTCTTGAAGAAATAGCATAAAACAGTTAAAAGTTCTTKTAATCCATCGACAATAGACAGTCATTTATATTACAAATGGGTTGAACATGAACAATTCTTAATTATCTAAATCATTAGTGATTATCCAAGTGAAATAACAAATTAAAGGAGATCAAGGMGAAACTTCTCAACAGTAACATCAATGATTTGTACTACAGGAAAAATGCACTGCATTCTGAGTAAGAGAATTTTTGTTCACGTTCCTGTTACTAGTTAAAGTGATCTCTTATAAAACCCAATCCTTTGCTTCTTTGGTATTTGAGCAGAGTTATTTCTTTCTCAACGGAGTAAAAGAAAATGCCGGAGGTCACTGACTCATGGTGCACTGAGTCACAACACGACTCCTGAAATGCTGTCATTCCTCACGTTGGGGATTTGTACAAAGATCCCGACTGTTTTTGCCGTTAACTCCGGTAGTTCGGAGAACTTTAACCCATTTCAAACCCGAGCCAATGTGGTGGGTGTTTTGTGGAGAACAAAYGGCTTTATCTGCTGTAGTATAAGAATGCTGACAATGTGACTGTCATAAACAGGACTTATGACCTTGCTGAAGTGCCGTTCCCTCCCACACACTCATATATCAATAATGCCTATGTCCTCGCTGCCGAGGCTTCTCCATGACTTGGGATTACGAGAAAACATTGATATTTTTTTCTTTTTTTTTTTGCATCATGAAATATTAGGATGGCACCATTTTCATAAAAAACTGAACAGTTGAGTTGATGTTCTAATCAGAAAAAAGTACTTTAGAAGTCTAGAAACCTATTTTAGAGCTCTGAAAAAAAACTGACCTTTTTTCACAAAAAACAGAATTACATAACCTGATCAGGGTCAGCATCAATGGACACATAATTGTTATTAAGTCATAATAATTTGTTAATAAACTGGTGGTTTACTTTAAATAATTATTTTTTGTCATTTATCATTTAATTTATATTCATTATGTGATTTTACTAATTTATATTCATTATGTGATTTTACTGTTTTGTTTCAAACGAATAAAAAGAGAAAAATGATGGAAGCAAAGCAACTGAGATGTGAAAGCTCAATCAAACTTGATATTTTATTAATTTACAAACATATATGACTATTCTCATTGCTCTGCATTGAAGGTTCCTCTGCACCTGTGCATGTAAGCTCATCCACATCTCTTTGACTCAACACTGCTAGACCCACAATCCGTTTRCCCCTACTCGTCATCCATTCTAGCCTCCATCCATTCCCATCATGGTGCTTCTTCCCTGCTCAGACTGTGTAGGTGTGAGTGTGTGTCTGTGTTTGGATGTGTGTACCTGCTATAGATGAGGCAGGGATGACTGTGTCTTGATGCAGCAGTAGCAGCAGCAGCAGCCTGTGGAAACAAAGGCAGGGTGATTTATAGCCCTGTACTGAGAGCATAAATCACACCTGCAGTGCCGCACCTTTAAACGCCCTGCGTCCTGACAGCATTTACCTTTTATAAATGATTGGGCTGAACCTCCCATGGAGCCCGAGACCATGAAGCTCACTCACTCTCCATCCAGTTCTGCCTTTGTTTCACTTATCTCCCTGCCTCTCTCTCTCTCTCATTTCAATTTTCTCTCCCTAACCATCTCACACATCGTTCTCCCCTTAGTCCCACATCTTTCCACTTTCTGCCTTCTCCATTTCAGCTGGAATTTCATCCTCCTACCACTCCTCCTTCCCTCATATCAGTCCTCACCATGGCCTCCCTTTCTCCATTTTGCAGAGCATGATGGGATGCTCCCAGTGGCTACTCCTTCTGTGCTCACCCACTGTCGACGTCGTCTGGGGATATACTGCTAAAGCTGTTTAAAAGGCAGCTGCACTGTCACTGCGTCCACAGCCGTTAAGGAAATGAATGTGTCACTCACGGCCCTATCTACGTTCCTCATAACCACTTTTGTATTGGGAAGCGCACACACACACACACACACACACACACAGAGCCATCCGTACCTGTGTCATAGAAGAAGTGTGAGGCAGGGAATATGCATCCCCAGCTGCAGGAGTGTGGCTCCAGATAAAGGTGACGCCTTGAGGCCATTACTTATCCAGCACAGCAGCAAAGGTTTGCAGATATTATACCTGCTGTCTCAACATAATAGCTCTCGGTTGGGAGCCGCACGCGCACRTTTGAATACACACACTGCGTATTGCACGCTTGCAAACGGAACAAGCACAGACAATAAGAAACACAGACAGGCCCACATACAAATTTACACACGTCTCCAGCGCTAAATCTGCAAAGACACATCAGCACACATCGGGATAGCTTGSCTGACTGAGTTGAAACAGATGAAAGAGCTGCTAAATGAAATCTGACTCAACAGTTTCAAATGCAACACTGTGAGCATCAGTAGAACAAAACGACAAAATCTCTCAAAGCTGCCCCAGTAACAACCACCAGGAGAATCTGAGTATCTGTTTTAAGCTCTTTGTTTTACACTATATGTTGGGTTTAAAGTTAATGTTTATATCACAGTTTAAAATCAAAGCTACAGTCTTTAKGTAAAATATTAACAGAGAAATGAGTAAAGCCAACATCTGAGATATGAGAATGGTTTTATTTGCAATAAGATATGCAAAAGATGGTTCTAAAACAAATAAGATGTTGCAAAAAATGTAGGTTTTCAGCTGTGACTTCAAACACTTAAAAAAGTCAAACAGGTTCTAAAACAATAGTCAATTTTGCGTCAGTTGTTAACAGTAGGGGTGGGCATATCAATCCATGTATGGATGCAATCAATGAGTATTGGTATTGGATAGATACTAGAGTGATGAGATTGATTGTTTTGTTTACACTTTAGTAGCACTACTGACTTTATTTTTCATTTTATTTGTGAAAAATAAAGTCAGTATTGCAAAGTCTCTAAATTGTTCATCCTCTACATCCTGCCCCTGTGCTGTGGAAGTAATTTTTTTGTTGTTGCTAACATTGTTATATTTTGTTACATTGTTGCTTCTTTTTTGTAATTTTGCACTACTGACTTTTTTCTTAATTGTGTATGGTAGAAGATAATAGAGAAATTATTTTATTATCCCTAATATTGCTGTTTTTTACCATAATTGATTAATTAAAGGCAAAATCACGTGATTATTTAATGAACATGACAAGTTTCGGAATCAGAATCAGCGATTCTAGCCATGTTTCAGATCGATACCAAAATTCCTGCCATCGCCCACCCCTCAGCAGTCTTGGCTTGAACAGACAGTTGCAATAGCTTAGCTGTGATGACAAAAAATCAAAGCTGTAATAAAACAGGGAGTAATTTTTTTTGCTTTATTTCTCATGTGAAAATAAATTAGTTGAACAACAAACTTAACGTTAACGAATTTAAGTTGATGGGCAAAGATGACACTTAAGTTCTCAGCAGCTGATTTTGTGTGACAAGTTAAAGAGGGTACAGGAACCTGGTGTGGATCAGAAACTAACACATCAACTGTACTATGCAGCAAGTTAGCTGAAGAAAATTCAGACATTCATTTTTTCAAATTCAGTCAAGTAATTGTGTAGAACAACAGTGTTGGCAAGATTACCAGGTGATAAGGACAATCTATGTATAATTAGCGTAAAGATGAAAAAACGTCAAGTGGAGCAGAGGGAACACATATGAATAAAAGAAAACTTGTCCAAATACAAACCCATGAGGCACTCCACAGGTTAGAGGTGCCAGAGAGGAAGCAACAGCAGTAAATGTAACATACAAAATTTATACAGGTGTCTAAATCAAATCACAACTCATTTCTGACAACATCAGTATCAAAACAGCAGGCCAATTAAAAATAAATAAATAAACACAAATTAGGAAATTTTGTCACAGCTCAAGTTCATAACAGAATTTGTCAGTTTTAGAAAAGCCATTTGATCGTTTCTAAACCTGATTAAAATTAAGTTAACGTCTTCAGTTGCATAGTTGCTTACAAACTATTTTTCCATTAAATAAGTCTGAATGTAACACTATCCATCACTGATCCTTTTAATCAAGAATTAATTACACTTATTCTACAAACTAGAGTGTATGCTGCTGTTTCATTTTGATTGTTCCGTGTTGGAAGTCATAATTTCCATAGATTACACAAATGTAAAAATGGAAAAATTAACACAAACTATTTCTAGGATAATGAATCCTATACTAATCATATTTCATTAAGGCTCCTTTCTACAAATGTTCAAAATTACAGATACAACTTCATCACATTTGAGAAAATAAACACACACACACACACTCACACACACAYTTAGCAGCTCATATATTAAAACAGTAAGTAACTTCCACCTTGAGCAGAAAGCATCTCATCCCTTCCCAGCATAACCTACAACTTGCTCAGAGGATTCATACCATCCATGCATTAGTGCTTCATTTAGTCCCAATTCCATCTGTTAAATCCTTACACACTTGATCTTCTCTCTCTAGCGCGGGGTTCTCATACAGTTCCAACTTTTCATGGCAGCGAATGAAAAGGAGGGACCCGGACAGACAAGATGAATCGAAACCGAGCCAGTCATTTCAGCTCCAGTTTGAATGTGACAGTTGTTCTTTGTATTTGCGTTGGACGGTCTACAGTGGAAACCAGAGATGCCCTGCAAATGTGAGCCGGTCCGCTGCCAGGATGCCGGTTGTTCTACTGTAACTGAGCAGGAGTCTGCGTGTGTGAGCAGAAAATAAATACCAACAGTGAATAAATCTTTGCCGAAGTCCTCAAGGTCCAAAGTGACTTTTTATTTCTATAAGAGAAGTAAATGTTTTATTGATTTAACTTAAAATTTATCGTAACAGAAAGAGCAGTTACTTTATTATAAGAAATAACAGAAAAAGAATCAAAGATGTTTTAACTTTTGCTATTTTTTGAAACATGAATCACTTGGTTAGTGAGACAAAAAAGGGGAAAACAAGCTCAGACATTTCTTTATTTGGAAAGAAACACTGCGAAGGCTAAAAGGCTAACGTCTGGCTGCTATTAGCAAGCCCTTTGTTAGTCTTGCAGAGAAGCTTTTTGTGTAGCAGACATGACCCCCATGTTGAAAACTGCACCTGGGCACCAAGATGGGTATTTACTCCTTTGAACCTAACCTTGCTCCGTCTGAGAAAAGGGTTCAGAAGAAACAGTGGTTCATACTGTAGCAGCACAACATTGTTTTGTGCCCTGGGTTAATTGGTGTGATTGTTGCCCTAAGTTATACGGACTTCAGGCCTTGTACTTGCCAGAAGATATAATGCATTCAGGTGGTATTAATTAAGTGTTCGTAGGAGTCTAGCCCTCTGCTGAAGATATGAGTTTACCTCATCTCCAGCACCCACTGAAAGATCTCCTTTTATAGCTGCTACAGGCTGTAACTCTTCACTTCCTTAAGTAAAGCTTTAACTATTTCAGTTATGCCATCACATTAAAGTCAGGCTTACTTTGTTTGGTACAAAAACACAAGGTATCATTTGAATGTAGAAAAATAAAATATTTGATATGGGTAATTTGTCAAAACAAAAGCATGCCCAGACCTTGTAAAACAAGAAAAGCATGAGTGAATATGCTATGGGACAAAGGGTAAAACCACTTAAACCTTAAAGAGTGGTGATAAAGAAGTCATAGTAAATGTAACCTCAGCAAATGCTAAATCTTTTAGCTATATTCTTTAAAGCATACATTTAACACATTTTTTTGTTTACTTCAATTAGACAAAACGTTTTACCATATTACATTTTTGACCGCTTTAAAAAGGTTTGTAAATAGATATAATGGCCTGCTGCTATGAAAAACATACCATATAAAGTGTGGTGATTTCTTTTTCATACACAGTATATACAATATATA